TCTTGACGATATTACGCGAACGATTCTCCGCTGAAGATATGCCGTGAGCGGGGGAATGGGGGGTTAAAGATAAAATGAAAAATATATATTATTTATAAAATTCAGTGGGGGAGGTGGGGTTAAAATAATAATCTCCCGCTGACGATCTTCCACGAACGAAGTTCCCTTGAACAAATATGAATAGTGCATTTTATTCTCGCTTACATCGCGAACGATCTCCCGCTGAAGATATGAAGATTGCCTTTTCGTCTCTCTCGAATCGCAAACTATCTCCCGCTGATGATCTTATGCGAACGGAGTCCGCTACAAATATGAAAATTATCTTCTCGTCTCGTTTGGATCGCGAACGATCTGTTGGCGATATTACGCGAATGATTCTAAGCTGAAGATATGAAAATTGCCATCTCGTCCCATTCGCATTGCGAACGATCTCCATGTACGAGCCAGGTAATCGTTAAATGGTCCTAAATTGAACATGGACATGAATAGAAGTGACGGGTACATTTCACGTCGAGATAATATCTTAATTTTTTCATTGTGTCTTCCCCATTTAGGACAGCCGCCGATAACAATAACGGCGTTACAAATGACAAAGCCGCGGCCTGTGACTTCTATTTGCCGGCTTGATAACACACCTTAAGCCAGGTAATAGTAATGCAACTAAAGACAAAAGGCCGACGTTCCCGCAATTGAGAACGGGAATTCACATCTTAACCATCTATATTGTGAGTAACCGCTCGCAGGGGCGCACTATTGTCCTATCTCCCATTGAGAGTGTTATCGGCAATGATATCCTGATCGTATCATTGTCTTGAATCAACTGACGCATTAACTTCATGTTTGAGCTGGACAACGCGGCCATATTTGATGACGAACTTTTCAAAAATTATCGAGTATCTCATTTTCAAGGTCGACGAAGTTTTCAAAGGGAAAAAAATTACGTCGGCGGAAAATCGTCTGCCGACGAAATTTTCAAGAACGACGAAATTTTCAAGACTTTACCGTAGACATTTCATTGATTTCTAGAAAGGTAGAGATGACAGTGTTTGTGTCTGGATTTTCATTGTTTGATAATCAGTCAGAGCTGTATTCCATACTGCTCATTGTTGAGAATCTCTGCCAGCATCCATAGAGCTATCAAATTTTCTGATCATTGGATTTTCTGGGCTAGGTTCATGATCACTAGAGAGGATGAAAGATGATATCTGTTGTAAAATTGATGGTTATTAAGTGATCTACATGTAAAATGTCTTTAGCATGAATGTGAAACTTCGCAATAAAATGGTATCTGTGGTGTTTTGGTGGCAGACTGGAGCCATTTAGGAGTCATTGTAACTGTTGCTACATTGTAAATTGAATACCATTTTGAGAGCACTTGATTTAAGGTGCAGGAGTATTGACATTTGTTGTAGATGGTTTACTGTTCTGTTTTTTCTCCTCAGTAAAATTTTTTAGTTCTGTGTTTCTTATAAAAGACAGATAGCATTGTATTATGTTCTAATGGGGAGGAAATACACTGTGGAATAACTGTTTTGTACCTGCATACTGTCTGTTACAAGGTTGACTCTTTGATAAAGTTGATACTTAATGCCAGAAATTATTTGTCATATAAAAAGCTGAATGTGCAATTATTTCCTGCCATTTATTATATAGGCTATAGTATATGGATCAACTCAAATGGTTGTAGATATGTCACCATAAGAAAAGCTTTTATTGAGGATTGATTTGTACATTTTTATTTCATTTTCAGATTATACAACGACTGCAGAAGGCGGCCAAAAATTACGAATCTTGGAAGTCTAAGAATAATCCCAGTTTCAAGCCGTGGATATATCCAGAACAGATTACTATACCTCGTCTTAATTATGACCACATCAAAGCCTTCTCAGACAGTCTTGCACAATCTGAAGAATCCTTGGAAGATGAAGAAAATTTCAAATTATCCGATTTTCATGATGAAGATGTATAATATTTGTGTATATACAAGCGATTTATCATATATAGGGAAACTTAATGATGGTAAATGCCAAGATCTGTATAATTTATGATATTATAGGAAAGTAATTTAGTTTTAGAAGGGAATAAAATAAATTCTTGGATAATGCCAAGAAAGAACTGTACTTCCAAAGTTAAACAAAAACATAATATTTATACATTAATTGCTCAAAATAGTTTTAAAACATAACATTTGCCATGGTCTTCTGACATGTGATCTCTAATGTAATCTTTTCAAAAATCTATACACATATTAGATGGAAATCCCTTCCCAAAACCTTTTATATAATCTTATATAACTCTAATCTTTATATTAATGGATGATGTTTTATAGACACCTAAAATTGTCTCTTAACTTCTTACTAAAACTTCGGTTGTGTGTGTCTTATTTTGTGCAGGGGCTTGGGTCATTTGGTATTTAAGGCTAGGGTTTTCATAGCGTAATAAGCCTTAGGCTTTAAAAGGTTTCATGTTAGGCTACATTTTGAAGGGAATCATATGGTCACTATACAATAACTGTTTTTATTTATTTATTTATTTATTTAATATAAATATTTATTTATTCATAAATGTGTGACCAGACTTCAGAAGGACCCAATTATTCCTCTGTCATCTGATCACACAACTTTCCAAAGTAGTTGAAGGTGGCAAGTTGACTTCATTTCCTCTTGCAGTTTTTTTTTTTTTTTTTTTTTTTTTTTTGTACAGTTATTATCGATTTTAGATGTATAAGAATAGTAATAATAACTTTCTTCAGATCTTCAAGTATCTTAACTTTAAATAGATCTCTTACCTAGTAAGACATTCCATTTTGAAATTAATCAAGAACACTATGTCATAGCTAAATGAGACTCCAGAAGTATTGAGGGTTTTTAGAAACTAAATATTTTGAATGTATTCATTATTATCAATTATTTACAATATCTAATGTAATTTGCATCTTGATATATGTTAACTGGAGTTTGTTACCACACCTCATATATACAGAGACAGAAAAGTCTGTTTATAAATATAAACAACTACAGATGGAGGTTTAATGGTGAACATGAAATTTCACCACCAAAAATGCTGTGATGAGCCCTAGTGCAGGCAAAACCTGTCATGATGTGAATATAAATTTCATGCAATTGACAATCAATTTTGAGACTTTTTGTAGTGAACGCCTAGGATACTGTCAAATGTCACTACACAAATTGCTATGTATGCAAGGCACTGTAACATCACAACAAATGTAACACATCTGTACAGACTGTTTTGTTGCACAAACATGTCGCGACTGTAGCGTATTTCATGTCTTAGTTCTTGTCACGCCATGAACTAACAAGCAGTCCTCATATTTCATCATATTAAGTTTTACAGGAAGTCGTGCAGGGATGGAGTTCGTGCCATTTGAAACTGAAATATAATCATATTGGGTTTGCTGTGACAGTCCTATGTTCCAGATCTTCCAAATTACAAGAAGTTGACTTACAAAGAATGTCAACATAGCGGATGGGAGTGGAGTATCACTCTTTTTGCAGGGTTGCCAGTCTGCAGCTATTTCAGTTATACCAGTGATGTAAACACTGGTCCCATTCCAAATACCAGTAAAATTGAAACAGTTTGTCAGTATAGTAAGCTAACAGGTCACATTATTTAGGCCAGCAAATTTTTGGCTAAACTGTTGTGATGGGATACTAGAGTTTTTGTCACATGCTGCTACATTATGTCAAAGATTCAAACTTACAGGGTGTTTGTATTAAACATTTTAATGCACACACACAAGTCTTGTTCAGCTTGGGAAGACCCTAGCACCCCGAGTGTCAAAGATTGCTGGAAACTCGCTTCTGTCTTATCAACGTGCCTCTGCTGTGTCCAGAAAATTGTACAAGGCAGATACATGGTGATGTGGAGTAATAATAATTCATTCAAAATTTTCAAGGTTGATGTTTCACAATATTTAAATCCTAAATTTGTACTACATTTGGTAATTCAATAAAATCTTTAAAAATTTGATTTTTTCTAAGACATTTAAAAGAACTTGAATATGAAAAAGGGTCAATTTATTTAAGTTTTTTCAGTATTTACTCATGACTTTTGGTACTTGAAATTTGCCATTTCTTCTCGAGGGTTATTCCTTCTTTTCATACATAAAAAGCTTATTGTTCTGAATTTTGATATAAAACCTGTCATAAAGTGCATCCCTTCTTTGATCCAAAATGTTCTGATTACAAATCAAATAGTCTCTGAGACTTGGGGTGGAGCTGGCTGAATGTAAGTAAAGTGTGGGAGACTTAATACACACTGCTATGGTCTGTAACAGGTTGTGTATGTTTTATTTTGCAGTCTATAGCTGTTGATGTTCAAGTTGATATAGGAGGTTCCTATATGTTGATATAGGTATCTCTTATTTTTAATGTGTATTTTGGATTGCTAATGAAAATAAATGCTTATTTTTATGTACATTTTGAAAAATGTTTAAAAAAATAGGCATTAACAAAACTGATTTTCATACATGCAGATAAAAAAGTTTTTAGAATATGTAGTTTTGAAACGTTTTTTAAAGGCCATAATTAACTTCATTATGATCGCCATATTTGCATGCTTAAAGATAAAAAAATGTGATTATTACTCTTATAAACTTTTGTGTAAGAAGAAAAAGTTAAGCTTGAAAGCTTTTAAAATAAGATGACTGTGTCAATCATTAGTATAAAATGATACAGCAGAGTTGAAGTCCTTTGCCAAGAATTATTAAATACTTTTCATATGCACGTTTTTTAAATTAATCTTTAAGTTATAGGAAACCTACATGCACGGTAAACAGTCTTGTTTTTGAGTATTAATTTTTTTCAACTGTTAGACTCAAAGAATTGGTTTTTGAACAAGGGTTACTGTACCACCAGCCAGTTTTTTTTGCACTTTTATTGTTAACACATTTTCTCCAGTGGTGGAAATATCAAAAATTTTAAAGAGCAAATAGCCATATAAATAAAATATATCTGGTAGTAGATATGAAAACTTTTTGGAAGCTTTTTCAGTTACATCTATGTTATAATCCCTTCGATGTGCCTAACCTTGCTAGTGGTGCAGTATTACCTCTCTGGTTATATTTATAGCCTTATTTTTCAGTATTTCTCTAGTATTATTATTTCCCCTGTGCAATATAATTTTATTGCATAGCAGGGTTTACAACTTGAGCTGGCTTGAAGGTACAAAGTGTTCACAATTGAAAGGCCAAGCCATACTTTATCCATGTTATGTTTTATTTTCTCTGTGATTATTTTTTGGGTTTGTTGCACATTTGTCTGTTAGCACTTTATCTTTCTTTCAGTTTTCTGTTTTATTGATTGCAGATTATATGCAATAAAGATAATCAGTTTCATTTGTTGTGATGACTCCATTTTGTTTCTTCCATGTAACTCTTAGCTAATTGAAGATTTGTCTGAAACCAGCTGTACAAATTAAAAAATAAAAATAAAATTACCATTTAAAAATTATTCATTAGTTGGACAGTGATGTGAAGTCAATCCAACCAATTATATACGAGATAAAGCACAATTAAGATAGTGTTTCTCTGCTTTATAAATTTTTTATAAATGTACAGCTTAGATAAAATTATAGCAGGCTGATATGAACAAAATGTTTCTTAAAACATTACTCTTGGTGGTCTTGATATCATGAAATGTGTTTCTAACTACTTTGAAACATGATATACTCTTGACTTGATCTCATGTAACAGTTAAATTGCTTGATCCTGTCAATATTTCACAAAATCTGGAAGTACATGAAAATTACTAAAAAAAAAAAAAAAAAAAAAAAACTCCCAAAAAGTACTCATTTTAAATATTCCCCAATAACAAAAAATTTTAACAGCTGTATCAATATAAACAATCTTTGTTCAATCTACAAACTAACAGAAAATGAAATTCCCATAAAAAATAAAAAATTAAAGATCTTTTATCCAGTAATGCCTTTAATATGAGTATTGTTATGTGCTTTGATGATAATGAAAAAAAAATCACTAATAATAACAGTATTGGCTTTGGAATGAATGGCAGCTGTTTATCTAACATCCAGGGCAGCATGTTCTACTGGGTGGCACTCCGAAGTGGACGTATCTTGCCATATGTTCTATCATAACCTAAAGAAGAATACAATATGTGAGCAGAGCCCTAGCATGATGGGAGTTTGAAACTTAAAATTAACAAAATCAAAACTATTTAAGAAAATATCATTATTAACTTAAAATCCCTTTCATCACAAAGAATTTTATCAACTTCGTAATTCACTTCAACACAGAATAATAGATGCATCAAACAATTTCAATTCCCATACTCCAATGTCTCTCCAAATACTGTCATCAGGGAAAGAAGCTATCGGTGTAATAGTGTAAAACTCTGAATTTAAGTTTATGTGAAGAATCTATTATTGAAATCTGTTCATTGACCTTTCCTTTTTTAGGGATGGTAATCTTGGGTAGGTTTTTCTTCTTTTTGCTTTGCCAAATTGCCGCTCATTCTGGGTTCCCATGCCTGGATTGATGTAACAGGATCAATCCATCTCCAAGGGTTTTTTTTTTGCTAAATTGCTTTCAGCTTAAGCAGCTTATATGTCTGGCACGCCTACTGTAGCTGCTAAACGATAATTAATTACCCCCTAGCAGCTTCAGTAGGCGTGACAGACATCAAAGCCGCTTAAGTTGATTGCAATTTAGCAAGAATCCCCTTGGAGATAGACTGAACCACAGTTGGTACGATAGGGTCTGGAAATGGTCCCTTATTCATCACTTTCTCCTAATGGTTTAAATTTAACTAAAACAAGTCAAATCAACCTTATTTTATTTAGCCATTTAAAGTCAGTTAAAACATTTGGTTAGAAGGCCGAGTGTTAGCGCTACCCCAGATAATGTGAAGGTTAATCTTACTGTAACAATACTCACCATATGGAAAATATCTCACAGTCAATTGCACATCCAAGTTTCTTTTTAAAATTTTTACAGCCTGAAAAGTGAACATGTATGTCAGTCATTAAGATATATTGCCAAATGTTAATGTTTTTAAAACTTTATTCTTTCATATTAGTATCTTAAATAAATTAAGCTCAAGACTTCTGCATAAAATAAGGCATTCTAATCTAAACACAATAAAACTACATCCATCAATTTTCAGCATTTACTGATTTGAATCTACTCCTAAATTTAAACAAAACACTATATAACAAAATTACATCAACTTTATAGTTGCTGTTTTATAAATCTGGTCTTCATTTCTACCACCAAATAATCCCAAAGTGGGATAAAACAATTTCATACTGACCTCTGCATGTTCAACATTCAAGAAGTCTGCTTCATTAACAGTTATTATCTGAAAAAATTAATGGAATGTCTTCATTTATGTTTTTTACTCATATGTGTGTATTATTTCATCTTTTCTTTAATTCATAAGCCCACCATGTTTATAACTGCAGAAGTAAGACATAAATAAATTGTGGCATCTTTTTTTTAATTAGATCAACTTAATATAAAAATAAATAAAGAGACTAAAAATATCCAAGCTTTCTTCAAGGATGAAAGAAAGTATGTTGATACCTGACCACAAATTAAACTAAGGTTGTTTTTAATTCATTCTCAAAACAGGTTTATAGCTGAATTTCTGGACATTTTAATCCCTTTATTCATTTATCTTTATCTAAATTTGATCAATAAAAAATGGCACCATTCACTTCTTTCTTACTTTACAAACAGAAAGTAATGCAGTGGACTTACATATTCCTGAATCAATGTATGTAAAACAAGCAAATAGCAGTTGTCCTAACAGCCAGGCTTTTCCCAGCAAACCGTCCAGCTGTCATTTGGACAGCCTCCATTTGGATTCACTAAATGGCCGATATTTTCAAAGATGGCCAGACGGCTTATGAATTTTTTTAGAAAAAATGATTACTTGGACACCCTGAAATTTTGTAGGCAATGAAAGGTGATAATTTTGGACGGCCTGTACCCCCAATCTTGGGAAAAGCCCTGCTTAACAGCAAATCTCACCTGGTCTCCCTCCTTCAGTCCTAGTCTCTGTGCATCCGTGTTGGGAAGTACCTTCAGATTTATATGAAAAATATTAAATAATTAAAAAAGAAAAAAATTAATCAATTTTTACCTACTGAACAGGGTTACCTTAATAAATCAGAAAATGCAGAGCATAAAAACATTCAGGAGTTTATCATGTAACGGCAAGAAAGATAATTAAGCACAAAATAATCATAATAATGACTAAAATTGAAAATATACATAAATAGAAATGTATTGGCATCACATTCATTTCATATTATACAATTATTGACTTTGCTTTGGGTCAGTATGTTGTCTTGCTGATTTATATTTTATTGATATCAAAACAATGGGACAACCTCAAGTTATCATGTGTGTGACTGGTTGGAACATTATCAAACAATTGGGTAGGGGCGTCAAAGTAGATATTAT